CTGCTCGGTGTGCGGGAAAGGCTTCATCCAGTCATCCACCCTGCTGAGGCACCAGCGGGTTCACACCGGGGAGAGGCCGTTCACCTGCCCCGTGTGCGGGAAGGGACTGACTCGGTTGAGCACCCTCACTTCGCATCAGCGTGCTCACACCGTCAAGTAGCCCTTCAAAATGCCGTGCGAGGGCGGTGTGCGCTTCAAGCAGGAAGCTGAGGCCCTCTCACTGGGGGAAGAGGCCACTCACCTTCCGTGTTTTGGCAAAGGGATTCCCTCAGTCCGTCTCACTTGCTGAGACCCCAGTGAGTGCGGACGCAAGGTTCAGATTCTGTTGTCGATCACGTGCTAATGTCACTGACCCCTTTAACCAGGCTGGAGTTTAATATTCCTGGAAGACGTCAAATAAATCAGCTTTTGTGGAGACACATTGTGTGCTTGTCCATATTTCTTCAGTGGAAGAGGAGAGTATTCATCTCCTGTTATTCACTGTTCCGTTTCGGGACTCTCTCTCTCCTCTTGTTTCACCATTAGTACTTTGGTTACTCGCGCAGCTAAACCCCACCTTCTAGCCCAGCTTTGGGATCCAGCGAATGGGTAACACACCCAGAATCTCTAAAATCAAAGTCAAAGAGTCATAGAGCTCGGAAACATACCCTTCAGTCCGCGCCGACCAGGTATCCCAATCTGATCTAGTCCCATTTGCCAGCATTTGGTCCATATCCCTCTCAACCCTTCCCATTCCTATACCCATCCAGATGCCTTTTAAATTTTGTAATTGTACCAGCCTCTACCACTTCCTCTGGCAGCTCGTTCCACACACGCACCACCCTCTGCATGAAAAGGTTGCCCCTTAGGTCCCTTTTAAATCTTTCCCCTCTCACCTTAAACCTGTGCCCTCTAGTTTTGGACTCCCCTCATCCTCAAACATTCTCTTGTTACCATATTAGTGACCTTCTCCAAATATAACATTATCAAATTTGACAGCCTTTTACAAGTTCAGTCAGATCCATTCATATTTGCCTAAGTGATGAGAGTTGATTGATTCAGTCCAAACAGATTCCCCCGAACCTCTCATTGCTAATGTTATGTTCCTTTTGGTGCCCTGTTCTTGGACAACATGGCTGCATAGATAACCAGACCGATCTCTATCTTCTCTGTCTCTCCGTCTCCCTGTCTTCTTTTTCTAGAATACTGTGTTCAGCTCTGGTGTCTCTGCCATAGGAAAGATGTCGTTAAACTTGAGAGAGCGCAGAAAAGATTTACAAGGTCGAAGGGCCTGTTTCTGTGCTGTATGACTAGGACTCACAGAAAGCTAACAATACAGGCACTCTTAAACAGTTAAGAAGGTTTCTGGTTTGTTAGCTTTTTATTACAAGGAGATTGGGGTACAAGAGCGAAGAAGACGTACTACTATTTAGTACCATCAAGGACTGAACTGATGAGAAATTTCTGGAGTCTCTAGGCTGTGAATCTTTGGAATTCTCAACTTCAGGGAGCTGTGTTTAGAGTCATACAGCATGGAAACAGACCCTTCAGTCCAACCAGTCCATGCTGACCATAATTGCAAACTAAACTAGTCCCACCTGCCTGCGCTTGGCCCATATCCCTCCAAACATTTCTTATTCATGTCCTTATACAAATATCTTTTATATGTTGTAACTGTACCCACATTCACCACTTCCTCTGGAAATTCATTCCACACATGAACCAGTCTGCTTATGTCTTTGTTAAAATCCTTCTCCTCTCACCTTAAAAACGTGCCCCCTGGCCTTGAACCCCGCCTCCCCATCCGAGGGAGAAGACACCTACCACTAACCCTATTCAAGCCCCTCATAATTTTAGGTCAAAAATCACACGATGCCAGGTTACACTCCACAACAGTAGGAACTGCAGATGCTGGAGAATCTGAGATAACAAGGTGTAGAGCTGGATGAACACAGCAGGCCAAGCAGCATCAGAGGAGCAGGAAGGCTGACGTTTCGGGCCTAGACCCTTCTTCAGAAATGGGGGAGGGGAAGGGGGTTTCTGAAATAAATAGGGAGAGGGGGAGGCGGATAGAAGATGGATAGAGGAGCACTGAGGTTTTTCCGGAGGGAGGAGGGTAACTTCTTCAGGGTAGGCATACTTAGAAGAGGCTTCGCAGTGGGGTTAAAATTGTTTCAGAGATAGTAGGAACTGCAGATGCTGGAGAATCTGAGATAACAAGGTGTCGAGCTGGATGAACACCGCAGGCCAAGCAGCATCAGAGGAGCAGGAAAGCTGACGTTTCGGACCTAGACCCTTCTTCAGAAATGCGGGAGGGGAAGGGGTTTCTGAAATAAATAGGGAAAGAGGGGGAAGCGGATGGAAGATGGATGGAGGAACACTTAACCCCACTGCGAAGCCTCTTCTAAGGATGCCTACCCTGAAGAAGTTACCCTCCTTCCTCCAGAAAAACCTCAGTGCTCCTCTATCCGTCTTCTATCCGCCTCCCCCTCTCTCCCTATTTATTTCAGAAACCCCCTTCCCCTCCCCCATTTCTGAAGAAGGGTCTAGGCCCGAAACGTCAGCCTTCCTGCTCCTCTGATGCTGCTTGGCCTGCTATGTTCATCCAGCTCTACACCTTGTTATCTCTATACTCCACAACAGGTTTATTTTAAAACACGCGCTTTGAGCAGAGCTCTGAAAGCTAGCATTTTCAAATAAACCTGTTGGACTATAACCTGGCGTCATGTGATTTTTGACCTTGTCCACCCCAGTCCAACACCAGCACCTCCACCTCAATTTTATAAACCTCTATAAAGGTCATCCCTCAACTTCCTACACTCCAGTGGATAAACATCCCAGCCTCTCCTCATAACTCCATTCCCAGCAACGTCCGGATAAATCTCTTTTGATCCTTCTTCTGCTTAATCATATCCTTCCTCTAACCAGACACAGCACTCCAGAAGGGGCCTCACCAATGTCCCAACTCCTACACTCACAGGCCTGAGCAATGAAGGCAAGCTCAATCCGTGTGCATGTTTCAAGAGATGGATGAGCTTTACAGGTCAGAACGCCTCTTCCTTATCCTGCTTCTCACGTTCGTTCAACCTGATGAATTCAGTTCTTGGCAGTCATCAAGGTGCCAGGCCGCAAGTCAGGCCCTAGACATGCCATTTACTGGTTACAAGTTTCAGGTAACAAGTCTTTGTGAAGCTGTGAAAAACGTAACCAGAGTTCTCCAGGAGTTCAGCCAGAGCGGGGAGAGCAACTTCATAGAGAACCACCACAGCGAGTCCCACTGTAGACCAGCCGTAGACCACCCCACTGTAGACCAGCAGAGACGGATAGAACAGGCTCAGGCCCTTCGGCCGACGACGCTGTGCTGAACAGGTCGCCAATTTAAACTCAAGAGATAGTAAGAACTGCCGACGCTGGAGTCAAGAGATTGCACAGTGTGGAGCTGGAGGAACACAGCAAGGCCAGGCAGCATCAGAGGAGCAGAAAAGCTGACGTTTCGGGTCAGGACCATTCTTCAAATTAAACTAATCCCTTCTGCCCGCCATTGTCCACATCCCTCCATTTGTTGCACATTCATGTGCTTAGCTAAAAGCCCCTGTCGCATCTACCTTCACCACCCACCCCCTAGCAGAGCTTTCCAGATACCTCCTGTGCAAAACCAAAACTTGCCCCTCACATCACCTTTGAACATGAGTGTTAATTACAGCAGGGAGCAGAGCCTGATGTTATCAAAATGGCGAGTTTATTTCAGCATAATTCATACAACATCTGACACGGTAATGGCCTCAAACAGCCTCACCTCAGGGGAGAAATCACTGAGTTCTCTGTCCGCATTTTACAGAACTCCCCTTCCTTCCTCTTCTTACTGGATGGGAAGGTGAGTTGCTCGTCTTTAATTCAACGCGGCTTCTGAGTGAGTTTAAACTTTACTAACAGGAGGGTCGTAGAAATCAAAGATCCTACGTTGTGCAAACAGGCCCTTCGGCGCAACAAGTCCACACCGAATCTCAGAGTGTCCCACCCAGACCCATCCCCCCCTGTAACCCACCTAATCTACGCATCCCTGGACACTACGGGGCAATTTAGCTCAGCCAATCCAGCTATCCTGCACATCTTTGGACTGTGGGAGGAAACCCCACGCAGGCACAAGGGGGGACGAATGTGCAAACTCCACACAGAGAGTCGCCCCGAGGGTGGGATCGAACCCAGGTTCCTGGCGCTGTGAGGCAGCAGTGCTAACCACTGAGCCACCATGCTGAATGACAGCCTTTCACACGGGAAAGGCGGGGTGGGGGAGTGCTCCTGAGTAACAGGGGTGTGAGACGGCTGTGGGAACAAACTACTTGGGCGGTGGCTCAGCGGTTAGCCTCACAGCACCAGGGACCCGGGTTCGATCCCATCCTCGGGCCACCCGTCTGTGTGGAGTTTGCACATTCTCTCCCCTCCCCCAATATCTGTGAGGGTTTCCTCTGGTCTCTCCACATCCTCCCAGTCCAAGGACGTGCAGGTTAGGGTGTGTTGGCTAAATTGCCCCGTAGCGTCCAGGCCATGGGAATAGAAGGGTGGGGGGTTGTGGGGGGGG